TATTTTCTATTCTTCAAGTCGTATATAGAAAATCGTCATTTTGTTCCTATAAGGTATAGGCTTTAAATTCTTAAACTTATATCCTATCTACAAATAAAAAAATAAAAATCATTTATAGTTGTTGTGAAACTCTGGATAAGGTCACTACCTTAGAAATTAGACTCTAAAGAAAATATTGGATAATTATAGATGATGCTGATGTGTTATTATGAACACTTTTAAACACTTTTCATATACCTATAGTACATATATACAATTACTAAATAAAGTGAATAACTAAATAAATGATACTATAGATTTATAAAACTATAATTTATACATTTTATGTTTTTTTTTTTTTTTTTAAATAATTGTCATATCTGAATAAAATATATTATGATACCTATCTTGAATTTATGGTTGTTTATTGTATTATTAAAAAAACAAAATGAAAACTAGTGAGCATTATAAATTTATAAACAAGAAACGAGGGTACCTACGTTTTATATATATATATTATTTAATATAGTATTTTTATTACCATTAATATTATCAATATTTTAAATACCTATTTGTATCAACAATTATTGGAACATTTGATATTTATTTTTTTATAATTCTGTTTTGTGTTTTTAAGTTTTTTCTACCTTCGTGTTTCTGCATTATATCTATGTTAATAATATTGCAGCATACTATATAAACACGATCGTTTTTACTTTTCATACACGAATGATAAATACAGAATAATAAATAACCACTAACGGCCTTAGTAAGTTTTTTACTAATTATAATTCATTTTTTCTTTAAGTTAACTGATGAACCGTAAATGCACCCACCGCAGAACCAATACAAAATTATGGCCCTATCAAACGTGTGTCGGATAATCGGGTATTTCGACACATTATTTTAACTCTTGGGTGGTGTTAGCCGTTGCATACTTACATGGAACCATTAACTATAAATACTAATTATTTCAGCCCATTAGTATCAGTTGTTTTTGTATGTTTGATGAATGAACAGCGCCACAGCGATAATTATTCTAATTAATATCACTCAACATTTTGGTGTACGAACAGTATAATAACTCATTATCGATGGCTTGTATGTTACAGGTGAGTAAATAACATAATATTTATTATAAATGTTTAATATAGTTAACTTTTTCGCTGTATTGTTATCTTTTTATTAGTGTATTCGTTTTTTTGAAACGACAACTGATCCACAGTTATTGACTCTAATAGTACCACACTGCACAACTATGTTTAGTAGGTATCTACTAAAAATTAAAACCTTTTTATTTGTCCGTTTTTATAAATCTAAAGTTGTGGCTAAAGAATAAATTATTTTTGGCCAAGACTGAGAACAAATATCATCAATATAAACTTATTGTATAGACGTGGCACGTCATACGAGTACTTATTAAATGTCACCAAATTTTAGTAAACTTTTTGTTAACATAATTATTTCAATCGATGTTTTGTTACAGTACAACAGGCACTCATGTGAATTCAGTTGACTGTGCGTAAGGGGTAAAATATATTTTTCTTTGAAATTTTCGTGTTCAGTATTTTATTTGAATACTATAAATTATCCAATCGTTTATATTGATAGCTCGAAACAAATAAATAACATCGATATACTGATAATTGATAAATGTATATATATATTGATGGATGTTCGCAATTTCGCATATAATAATATAAACGAAGGTAATAAAASAAAATAACTGTAATACAATATGAAATATATATTATATTTAAAAAAAAAACCATTATCATTATTGTGTATACTCTTATATTATATATTGCGTGTATTCAGTTGAAAACATTATGTTCTCGAGCATTTCGATTGCTGGCATGCAGTGTTGTTCGTTGCCTACAGGCCTAGGCCACGCGAAATGCACGATACATAATTTTTTCATCGCATCTTCGAGGTAGCGTGCTGTGAATTTAAATCGGAAAACGTTTTGATTTGCCGTCAATTTTCTAGATCGCTGTGATCGCCCTGGGTGCCCTGACGACATTGACGTCGGCCGTATACCACGATGCCACATCGTACGCCTATTACCATCCGATATTCCATCACACCCAACACCACGGGCACGACTATTACGTACGTATTTAACATTCGTAGTGTAAGTAGTAACCATCATAGGCGTAGCGTGATGATGCATTTATATGGGAGTCTAAAGCATTTTTTTTAAATAAAAAATATTTCAGTTCTCGTATACATGGACATGATTTTTTTTTTTTGGGGGGGGGGACTATAGCCACCTTATCCCCCCATCCCATACTAAGCCTATGCATACAACTAACCCGTGTTATTCTTATTTGAGTGCTCGAAGAACGATGTTATTTATTTATAACATAAAACCTGATATCACTTAAAATAATGATATCGGAGATGCTGTATGTGTTAGACCCCTACAGGATCTAATACAATTGCAGCCCACAGGTAACCGTTTACAGTTATGTACGTCATAATAATATGTATTGTATATGGGTAGGTTAAGTATTATCGTGTCTACACAATCTGGTGGCTCGGACTTTGATCAAATGCAAAGTACGAAAACGTAAATGACTTGCAGGGTACGTTTTAAATAAGCTCTTTCGTCACATAAAACATTACGTGTATTATTTGAAGCTAGAGCAGATTTACACAGATTTACACAGATGATTGATAGATGGGCGGGTGGTAGGTATATAATATAAGAATAACGAAATCTCATAAAACTATACGTTGGCCCGAAAATGGCACCTGTAATTCTGTAATTATTGTGGTGGTGCGTATAGTATTTAGAATTTTCTTTCAAAAGAGCGATGGTGACGTGGTAATCAATTTGCTATATTTAAGGGGGCGGCATATACTTCCGTCGGATTCCTCAAAACTTTTGCGCTTCACCACTTCGACAACCCACTTTCATATCACATACACGTTTATTTCTATTTCGTAATTTTTGCAGGCTCCACCCAAGTACACGTTCAAATACGGCGTCAAAGACCCGCACACAAAGGACGACAAACATCAGTGGGAGGAACGGGATGGGGACGTAGTGCACGGCGGCTATAGCCTGGTCGAGCCGGATGGTCGTATCCGCAAGGTAACGTATACGGCCGACAAGCACAACGGGTTCAACGCACACGTGCACTACGAGAACCACGCTCATCACCCGCAAGTCCATCACCACCACAAACATCACCCTCGTGACCATCATCACCGTCGTGGCGGACGTCAACTGTTTTGAGCGATCCACTCGCGCAGGACCGCGTAACGGCACTTACCCTTCGASCAAATTAAAGTTGACAGTTATAATATTGTTATCGTTGCCCAATAATATGTTATTACATAATTATATGGAATGTTGTTATTGAAAACTGTTTTCTATTTATTTTCCACCACAAATTTTCAAGCAAAACAGAATTTTATATTTTTTCCGTTGTAGATCAAGCAAAAACAAAATAAAATGATATTTAGATTAGTATTTTTAAGTTTTAGAGTCTTAATTCTCGTGAGAAGGGAKTTAACTGTGGTAACAGTGCAAAATATAGAACTCTTGTGTTCACATTATAATGAATTTTACTCATATACCTTAATCCTATTTATTGGTTTTTACTATATCAATATCACTCATTTATTTTATCGCGCACAACTGCACTCCCTGACTCTRTGTGGCTAGATATACTATTATATTATATTATAAAAGTTAAAAAGTATATTATTACATGACTCATTTATTTGATTTAAATGCATTTCTGGTTCATATAATAGGTATGGTTTTTTTTCAAACATTCATTTATTTATATTTATAATTTCTTTTTACAACGAATACGCTGCACGTTCTATATATTATATGATATATTAGGTGTATATTATTATAACGTCCTTGATGTGAATGCGTAGGTTCAATTTTACGACGCAGTCATTTATTTAAGTGGACAAAAAATTATGTGCAGTATGGAAAAACAACATTTATATTTTATCAAGAAATAATATAAKATTATTATGTTAATATTGTTTTCTAAAGAAAAAAAAATACCATCTTTATATATACATAGTCATATGAAAAGACACAGGTTCCGCATTCTCAGTGAACCCATTCTTTGATTTTTTTTTTTTAACAAAATTATAACTGAAATATCAGTCGTATTATGTACAATTAATGCTATTCATGTTATTTCTAAACAGTATATAATATTAAATAATAAAGTCTATATTTGTACTTCATATATTTACTCACCTTTTATGACTATACATTTCCTATTCTTTGGAAATAAATATTTCATCATAATAATTATWTTTGAAATCGGTTTTACTCTTCTGAATTTTAATAAAAAAATAAGAATATTTATTCACAAACACGGTGGGCCTCTGAAATTCGTCAATGTTAGCTTTATGTGAAAAYACAATGACCCGCCGAAATCAGAATGGGAATAATAAAYCTTATTAAATAATTCATGTCATATTGTACGTGGTACATATGCGTCGTAATTMTTATAACGTCGGCAGCATCAATGCCTTCACTTGTGATTGTCATCATATRCTCACTCATATGAATAGAATTTATCTTTACATGTTAAAGTCACCTTTTATAGATCAATTYTWWGATTAGTWACAAATCAAAATTTTGAGAAGATWGTTYRCCATTTTTGGGTGGTTCAATAACAACCGGTAAGAGCTTAAGATAACGTAACATTTGTTGTCTTCGTCTTACAAGTACGTAATATCACAAATTTACTCAAATTTAAAAATTTAAGTAAATTGATCTCTTATATAATGTAAAGAACATTATCTGTGTTTGACGTGTTCGTACTTCGTATGTTAGGCMTTTACGATAGTTCAGTGTTTAAGTATGTTASGAGCACTTTTATTTTAATTTATGCTAAAAAATTGAACTATATATTGTAAAAAACCCACATAAAATAATAGACAATGTTCTTACCATCATGGCATCATATTACATTATTGGTAGATTCTTACTAATTTTTAAACTAACTAAGCTACGCGTTATCTGTTGAACATAAATTTGGTATGTTACGCAGTACACACTGTTGTAAAACGGAGACAACAATAATATCAGTGTTACGTCTCAAAACTGTAGATGATATTGATAATAATAATATAAACCTTGATATTAACATAATATTTTGTTAGACTGTTATAAAACATATTATGTTATTAATGACATAAAACTTTAAAGCTTATTCAATATTCAGTACTTCAGTATAGCATTATTATACAGTATATATAGTCAAACAGAAATAGTTGTTAGTCGTACATTATTAAAAATAGGTAAATTCAATAACATCGGCTGCCGTTTTAAAATTGTTGGTATTTATGTCATTTTTTAATAAATAATTCATGTAACGAAATGCACAATAATATTATTTCTCATGAGTTAAAAATATGGTATAGACTTGAAAGAGTTGTAAGGGTCGCCCATTACTARCGTCTAATTAATTTTTATTTTTTTTATGTCTTTAAACGTATTAAAAATGTTTTTGTTTTAAAGTTAATATAACTAGATTAGTAAAAGGTCATGACTCCATTTATTTTAGTCGTCGTCGAAGACTTTCCCAGTTTTATACTGTTATCTACAATAGAAAAATAAGTCAAAAAGGGTTATTGGATTATTTTGAAGTCGCTTATGAAATCACGTATCTTATGACGTGAAATCACGTATTTTAGTAGATATTATGTGCTTCTTCATCTGTGATGGTTTTCATAGCATAAATTGTTATGAAATTTTAGGTTAGAGAAAATTGATGGCAGATACATTGGACATCCTTCAGAATTCAATATTCTGAAAAGCTTGAATTTTGTTTAAGTTTAACTTTATCCTTGCACCACAGAGTTATAGTTCGTATAATCCATTCGTYCTGCAAATAGGTGTATGAAAAGCATTAATTTTAACCTTAAAAGTATACTTATCTTAAAATAAATACTATAAAAAATTAAAAAATACATTTTATTTTTGTGTTACATTGAAATTTTCAAAATAAATAAAGTGGTATAATATATATAATATTATAATAATGGAATATTGTGAAATACGAATGGATAATCTAAAATCATAAAATCATTATGTAAAATATCTTTATCTTCATCAAAATATAAATATTTAATTAAAAAAAAAAAACTAATAAAGTAATAACTTTAGTGAATATAGTTTATAGTGTTTATACCTATGTTTATATACAATTATGCCAACACAAAATTGCCAGTTGATGTTTCTGTAATTAACATGTATTTAATATAATTTGCTAATTTATTTTTAGAATAAAACTGAAATAATCATTATTAAGAAGTTTAAGAGTAATGAAYCACCTGAAACTAGATTCTCTGACATGGACGTGGAGTTAAAAAATATATGTTATACATGCAATGTGCACAATATAATATAACATGTAGCCCTATCGTAGCAAATTAGGTCACCTATGCTCTACTGACTTTAAGTGTCCTATGTAGACCCTCACACGCATGTATAGGTTCACCAATCATTACATTAAAAATATAATATGATATGATATTATGATATAATACACAACAAAATGATGTGTAAATAACTCAAGTACCCACAAAATTCGTCGATAATTTTTTTTCATACATATAACATTATAACACATAAAAAAAAATTATGATATTTTAATGTGATATTTTATTAATCGCTGTAATTCATGTTTAGTCTTTATAAAGTAATCACATAAATTTGATATTTAATCTCAAGTTACATTMATTTTTAATTTTTACCTTCTATAACTATATGTTGAATAGTTGGAAATTGCTGAAATTATAAGATTAATCTTGTATAATATAGTAGTTGCATCAGTTGCATAATTCATCCTATAGTTTATTTGTTAATCAACAAAATGAGAATACGTAAATAACAGTTTAGGTACTTAATAATACATTTTTATTTTTATTTTTTACCCTTTTAGTTTGAAATAATGTGAGYATTTTAAATTTTAACTATAGTACGTACTGCCATATTGTTGGTACTGTGTAATGCTATTTTATTAATTATTATTATAGCAATAAGTTTGAACATTTTAGAAGCTGAATTGTTTCCACCTTCAGAGACGCTATGCAGATAGGAAAATCGTATGTAAGTCCAACAATTCGTGACGAATTCAAGGTTAGAGTTTGTGCAATTTATCGAAAACACATATCTATCCSAATAAAAAGTGTGCTGCTGACGATGCAGGTCATATTATTATGATAATACGATTATAAAATCACATTTTCAAAACAGTAGTTGCATGGGTACTAAATCTTAATTGCAATTTATTTTAGTATAATTATTTTAAGTGACACTAAACTCAATAAATCAAAATCACATAATTAAAAGAAATTGACCATCATGAAATATTATAATACATAATCAATATATTATAAAATATTATTAATTATTTTTCGATAACTCTTTTTGCCCCCAAATTTTAAATTATCGAAATTTTGGATTTTATTGTTATTATATTATTTATTAGTACCTACTAATTGTAGTTTTAAATGTAGTTAAACGCACTAAGTTACATATATATTTTACTTTAAATTAAATTATAAACGTTCAAATTGTTTTTATTTCTGCCTACTTACCAAATTAGTTTAAATCATAATACCAGTGTTTCGCCGAAAAAAAAATTATAACATTACTTCTACCTTATACCTAATCCTTATTATCTATAATTTATTACTTACCCATTCGTCATTATTTACAATTATTGAATACTATGTCTTACACCGTGGTCAGATGGTCAGAAATATGTTATAACGAAAATAAAGATACGTGATGGCCAGTCCCACTCACTCTCACCAAGTGTAAAAAATTAAAAATCAATAATAACGACGTTTTACAAGTATAATAATTAGGCAYTTGGCTAATGTCCTGCAGGAATTTGCATGAATCGCAAGACCTATCCTAATATTTACTCGATACTCATTCRTCCCCCGAAAAGTTTTAAGTACACGGAGGCAGCAACCATGTATTGCCAGCCCCGTAGAATAAACATAAAATGCATTAACATTTTTCACATTTTTWATTTTTTTGTGAATATTTACACATTTCTTATCTATATCATCAAACTAAAAAATCGCATAAACAAATATATATACTCTATTAATTATTATTGATACTCATTAGTCATTATACGGTTATACTATATACTATATACTCAAACCAATGTATTTTCTTTAATCTATTCAATGTAAAATTGTAATCGTTTAGATGAATGATGGTAATAATACTAATAATCATCGATCAATTCCAAACACAATTGACAGCTACTCCTGTGATATCCTCTCGTTCATTTGTTACCTATTGAAGTTTGGAATAATTTATTTACGATATCAACCCTATAAGTTTTTTCACATGCG